AACTTAATCGGCATGAGACTTAAAAGATGGGTTTTTTTAGTTAAGAAAACTGAGTATCGATAGCTGTTCTCTTTCGCGTTTTGCCCACTCGACATCAGCCCTTTCGGAGGCAAAGTTTCGAATTCCGTTGTCGTAAGTTCCGGTAAATTCCTACTACTATATGGTAGTGTACGTTCTCCTACAAGTAATTTCTAGGCGTTTGGAAATTAGAATTCATGTTAATAGTATTCCATTGCGAAGACCGAAAACTCATCTCGATTCGGTTAATTTACGTGAAGGTTGCGTGATTAGGAGGCCACCGGACGCATGTCACGGATTCTGGAGTGGCATTTAATGATACAGATAGTTGAGTCAAGAAAAAGCAATAATAATGCTCATTTACAGTATGCACATTTATGGCGGGATTTGTAGCTGTCTAACCTAAATGTCGCTGATCGCTATTACTTTAGTCTTAGTTATTTAAAACCAATATTTTGTTCATTTGAAATTTTCAATTAGAATTACCAGATTGAACTGCTGTCCCCACAGAGTGTGTTACTTTGTTTTTTAGTCGATCCCCTATAACCTCACTTCTATTCGAAGGCTCACTATTTAATTTCTAATACCAACAACACTCTTTAGTTTTCCCTTACGTTAACACGCCTGAGTAGAAAGTGCTTCCAAAGTAGCTAAGCACAGGATCAAGGAGAGTTCTCTCTAGAAGAGTGTACAAGCCTTACGTAAATTAACGGAAGGCTTAGCCTTGAATTAAGTATGTATGGCTTGGAAAAAGGTAACGAGAGTGAAAGTTTACAGTAACTTCCGACAGTAACACTCGAACTTTCGCTATATACAAAATATACAAAAAAACTATATATAAAACAAAAAATATGTGCTAATACATAAAATACTTATTTTACACTTGTGTAGTGCGAATACATCCATGGATTCATCCATTCTTCATGTATCGGTTTTAGACTGTGTTAAGCGGTGATAAGTTTACCAAATGAGTGACAACGCAATAATATAAACAACAATGTTAGCCATTATATTTTAAATACTATCGAACTGAGATTAAACATATAAAATATACAAAACATGTAAAAACATAAACGACAAAACAAGGCGGCCTACTTTCGACAATATTTGCTAGGCATAGTTGCCCCGCGGCTTTACTCTGACAAATCTTTTTCAGCATCCCAACTGTGGAAACCCTAGTGGTGGAAGTAGGCTTTCCCATCCAAAGTTCTTCACAGGAAAAGTTCCTACGGTTCGAGTCTAGCGCTTAGGCATTCCTTCCTACGGGTGGCTGGCTCCTAGTACGAGCGCGAAACGAACCTATGCTCAGGTTCGAACCTGCTCCACAGCGTGTCCTAAAATTACCAAGCGAATACGTTACGCACTAGGCTATCATGGGGACAAGTCTACACGCATTGACCCGTATTACCGGTACAGGTATAGTCCAGGTGCCCCACAGGAAATCGTGCATTTACTAAAATTCATCTTTAATAAATGCAGACGTGCTATGCCCGGCGATACTGTCTCGTTATAGTCACATTCTATTCAAGTCAAACTCAGTGAACCTTGGAATCAGAAAGTCATTGTAACATGCCACTCTAAAGAACGTCTTAGCAATTTAATGCAGCAGTCATGATGAGAAACAGTTCCGATCGGCGAGAAATTGAGGTGTTTGAATGACTTAACATGTTTTCATGGACCCTTTGTCTGCTTTTTATCATTTCACTCAACGCAACGCAAAGGCTTTAAGGGCGTGCCTGCTGCTTAATGGACGATACCATGATAAACACTGGGCGCATTTTCCAAATAAGCTTGGTACTTAAACGGACCTGGAGCACACCAGTGGACTCCAATCTTCGACAGGATTCTGGGTCGTAAAGAATCATAATTGTAGAGAAAAATCAAGGCGTCGATTATTTACTCCGTACTAAACCATCATGTGCTGTACGTACGCTTTATGCTGTCCCTTTTAATTGGATACATTGTAATCAATCAGATACGTCAAAGATGTTTTGGATACGGCTTTGATAATGCAAATCCATCCAGTGTAGGCTGAATTACCGTTGAAAACATAGAAATGAGCCTTGGCCATAGTGTCCAACTGCCTGCATAAGCAAATTTATTACCGTTTATTGACGAATGGCCCACGTAGGCTCTGTGAAATAGCCTTCCCTGTCCCAGAGTTTTTTACGGCCTCTTACACTATAGTAGGCTGGGACGCGAAGGACATTGCAATTGGACACATTAAGATAACACATACTACGTACGACGTTGACTAAATAAAAACAAACAACTAATAGAATTACCGCTGAAGCGCTACAGAAATGTAAAGGATAAACCTTCAGCCGCCTTGAACCGGGGCGTCGTAACTTAGTTGCTTAAAGCGTCTGTGTAGTCCCACCGGAGCCTGCCCTTCCAATGCGTCTAAAAATACCAGCATGATCTTTTTATATGCCCAGTTTCATATTATTTTAAGGGAATGTAGCTTTGGTATTACTTGGTTCGACTACCGCATGTCAGTCTCGGTAGAAACAATTTTATTAATACAACTGACTATAGAGTCTGTTTCTTTAGCACCAATAAAAATATTACCATTCTAATAACGATAATTCATTCATTTTACTATATTTGGCGTTATGGATCATTTGCCTTTGACCGTCGCACATACATTCTGGAGCCATATTTGTTTCTTTCCACGTAAACATTAGTTTAGAAATCAGATAATGTTTTTTTTTGCCGACCGGCAAACATGCGTTCGTCCAGATGCAGTTTTCCTGATGGACTTTTATTAACTCTATCAAACAATTTACGCCATTCAAGAAGTGAGTCACAGACGGTCACTCTCAGATTGAAGTTCGAATGCTATAATAAGCTCTACTTATGAACAAAAGCGTGACGTTATTGGAAGTAATAGATATTTCAGAGTAACTAGAGTGACAGCTAATATCAGAACAGAACATATGTATATATATATATATATACAACCTTCGTCCCGTCCCACGAGTTGTTGGCGTTACAAAAACGTACAGGTATAAAGAGGTACGTTGTGCTACGCATTTTTAAATCTGAGTCCTTCATCCCGATATGCCTATTGATCAAAGATTAAGTAGAAACAAATGAGCTCTTGATCTCCAAGAACGGAGCCGCTATATGGCTTTATTAGTTAAGAAGTTACTTCAGGATACCATCGAATCAAATACGTTAATTTCAAAGCGGTAAGATAAATGAGTGCAATAGGAAAGTGTGACTCAATAAATACATAATAATGAGCTCATTGTACATCATACAACAATACCTGTAAAAATGTTCGTTACTTTCAACGCATCAACCATGGATACCAATTAGATTCGTTGTGGTTTGTTGTGTCTCCTGCATTCTGCCCTATTTATAGAGTATTAGTAGTAGTAGGGTCATATATTAAAAAATAAGTTTATTAACAAATTCGTACTAAATCTTAGCAGCTTTTTCTATAATCTCGGTCGTTAAATAGCATAAAGCCATCTAGCCAAGTAACAAACGAGCCTGCTGTTAGCGAAAAAGACAGGCAAATGTCGGAGCTAGGCAGTCTTTGTGCATATTGCAATGTTTTATAACATGTACTATTAAATACGTCTCTCTCGATATAATAGATGTACCATACCAGATATATTGTTCACCATTATATTTCGGCCAGTTCAGATAGAAGTGACCTAAGCTTTCTAGATCTAATCGATCAGAGATGGCGAAGGTGAATACTTCATAGGTTTTCAAAGCCGGATGTCTGAGAGTCTTCAGTGCGTAACCATTAAGCCGTCATCGAGCGTTAAGAAAAACGAACGTCAATCAACATTAACGTTCTCGTTATTTTGTAATAGACATATATGGATAGCATTAGTGGTTTTTTGTCAGCCCAATAGCGGTAATGTGTCGGCAACCATCAAGAACAGCAGTAAGAAAAAAAAATATTGTTTTCTCGGACACAGACAGTAAATGAGCTCTTGCTTGGTACCGGTGCATTGTGACATTGGATATGCTCTTGGGGCACATTGAGTAAGCTAGTTACCACAAATTGTTCGGTCAAACAGCTAAATAATCCATCTCTATGTTGTCCAAAGAATGACTGGAAGGAAAACACACCATCGAATAAATTATATTATATCTACTATTTTTCAAATTCAAAGCAATTCTTGCAATTTTGCGAAATTGTGTGATCGTGATGTTAGAGGTATAAGTTTTAGCTACAGTACGAGGTTATCCGTGACTGTGAAGTTTTGCAAGGGAACGGATATGTCCAAACATGCAATAAAATACGAGGAACCCTTTTGTCCAAGAGAAGCCATCGAAAATGAGTGAAGCTTGAACTCATGCATGTGTATTATTATTATTATTATTACTGAACTTCAATATACTAGTTTTTAATGACTTTTTGTTTTGCCACTGTTCCTGGGGCAAAATTGATATTACCACAGCCTCGGGCGCACACTTTTGATGATACCTATAGTTCTGCCTTCTGCGTTGAGGATAGTATTAAAAAAATTAGAAAATAATTTATTCATCTCATGCGAAATTTTCAGTTTCTGAAGCATCGCGAGAAGTACTTATTGGCGCGAGCACAATTAATATAACATGATAATAATAACATCACAGAATAGTCGAGCACGAAAATTAGCCAGCCTAATGATTAGCACCCTGCTAAAATTATATATATATATATATATATAGGCCAGTTTAATTAAAACTTTTTATATGGACCCTAAAAATAAAAAGAACATGGCTAGATGTATTGTCGAAACCTTAAGGTTAACAATACATAGCTTAGATAAAATGTTTTCCGACTCCATTGAAGAGAAGCAATAACACTTCGATGATAAACATAGATCCATATATATATATATATATATATATATATATATATATATATATATATATACATATATATGAGTTTTTCGTAAGCACAAATCGTGTAGTATGTGCATATTGTAGATTGTTGCGTAAATAGTTAGATGGTTAACACAACAGCGTACGAACAAAAACTACTTTTGCGCTTATTTCTAGGAACACACCGGTTGCTATACGAATGTTTGGCAATCTTATCTTTAGACAGTGAATCAGAAGAGTCGACTGTAAGGCAATCGGTGCTTTGTTGGTGACCGATGTGAAGGTGTTTCCAGTATCCTTATGGAAGGCCACTCTAGTCCTGTCAGCGGAAATGGTATTCTACTTTTAGCCGAAATTGGTGGGACACTGTTCTCTATTTGGGGTAACCAACGACCAGAGAAAGACCAATTGAAGACAGACTTACTATATTATACTATCAATGAGTTTGCATTTCAGCCACTCCTGCCGTTATACTGACAAGTCGCTAATGCAACTACCGGTCACAAAGGCTAATTTAGTTACGGACTGTGTCAATTTACCTTTCAAAAACTGCAACATAAACTTCAAAAGGTAAGCGGATCCTTTTTACTAGATAACAAATCGTACCAACTACAGATCTGTTGCTCTACCCGACAATGGCAGACGACTATATTTAAAAAAACAACACTTTTACTTTACACAGAAGGTGAAAAGTTTATTTCGTATAAAAACAAAACAGAAACATATCTGGACAATATCATTGGCTATTTTGTCAAGGTCCGCATGTAAATTCCACTACAATGTATGATGCAAGGCATCTGCCGGAGTAGTGCAAGTCTTAAGTCAATATTTTGTAGCTTCAACACCCACTAAATTGCCATTATGCTCTGCTTTTTGTCACGAATAGACATTTATATTAACACTTTCCTGTACCGTCGATTTGTTTTTATTTGGTGGTATTTACAGCCTTCTAAAAGACCGCTCGCTCAACCGGAAACTGCATCTTTACGTTTTTTCGACGCGATACTGAAACAAATTCTACTCGAGTCTTCGTTTATATTACTTTTACCAAATGATGCCATGCAGCAGCTTTTCGAAAGCACGTAATTTACGTATTGGTCGTATTTTGCTAACAACCACTACGGTCCGGCTTCTGGGAAGTAAAGCTCCAATGAGAACTAATGATTTTCCCTTCGCTAAGTACGCCCTCCAACCAGCTAATCCATTACAGGCTTCACCTATTGGACAACTCTAATTGAAGCGTTTTCTCTATATTATTTTTGCTCTTTAAGCACAATTGGTGTCCGTCTGAGAAATACGTTGACTTGTTTATTTGACCACACGCGTTTGAATTGACGACTTTTAACTTTTCCACGCATGCCAATTATATATAGGTTATCTCTCAAGAGTCAGATGTGGCACCACCGCGTTATCGAAAATCTTCCAATATGGTACGCAAATAACTTTCGCTTTTCCGGATGGTATTGCTCGTTTTGCATCTACCTTTAGAGACCTAGATTTCGATTTCCAGATGCCTAACATTAAGTTGTCAAACAAGATTGTTGTTAAGCCAAAATTGAAGCAAATACTTTTTATATTCTATAATAAGAGAAAGCAATAAAATTTTACGACTTTTCTGGCCATACCCTCGTCCTATATTCCTTGAAACATGTGACATTGGGGTCGGAAGTTAGCTAGAAAAATAGCTAACACCATTTCGGCGACGCAACGAATTAGAGACCTGGTGAACGAAATTAACAACGAAAATCGCATTAATATGGTCATGTACAGTCAGGTTCATACTCATTTTATAATCTCAGGACACAGAGGCGTCTTGTAAAATTTGCTAATATTTACTGTCCAGCGGATAAAATAGGAGCTCATCAACAGCCACTTTACCTTATAACCTCGCTTGAAACGATTGTTTACCTTCTCCCAATTGTTATTAGTCAAACAATATTATGAGAAGTAATTATTTGGAAATTTAAAGAAATCCCGATCATTTGATCCTTAACGATGCATCAAAAGCGGATGAACTGCGAAAATATAACGCAATGACATTTATAAATTAAGCCACAGCAACGAGGTGTAACTTAATTTAGTTTCAAATTATGACAATTTCATGGACCGATAATGCCTGTTTTCAAGCTACATAAATAGATAATTAACTCATCAATTTATCCGAAGTTTTTTTCAGCATGAACTCATCACGATCCATTCGTACGCTCAGATCAATCCAATTTCAGCGACAGCAATTACCAGAGAAGGACCAATGAGATAATATAAGCATGTGGCCATAAGTAAAATAATACGTCACATATATCCATATTGGCTCTGATGTACTGTACAACAATTGCTATCCGTACATTCTTACCTATAGTAGGAAAAGCAATGGTTAGAGGGAAATAGTCGATAACGACAAAAACAACAAGATCAACAACGACCAATCATAGCATCCCCTAGCGAAGGCAACCGTATCGCGAGAACATCCAACAAGTCAGCCGGCAAAAGTAAAAGCATTATGATCATTTTATGCTCTTCGATATTGCTTGAGATTGGAAGAAAAACATGAGTTGAGCAGGAATCATCTGTCTAATCTCGCCCGTTCCTAGCCCCAAGACTCCGGTTGCCATCAATACGCCTTCGGCTCTATGATTAGTCGGCGTCAGCAGAGTGCGCTCACCGGTTTTATTGTTACACCTACCGCAGAGTAGTCGCCCCCGTCCCTACGCTACTACGTCAAACGAGACCATATCAGCTGGCTCAGCTACAGAGCTTCTCCTTGTTTTCTGCCCCTCAATCACTTGGCTCCTGTCAACTGACCAATAGTAGCCCTTCTCGCTCCATTTCCGCTGGCCTACCCAGGCTCGTCAGGCCGAACAGTCGGCAGCATAGGCTTACACTTTTCTTGCTCTTTGCACTACAGCCGGTATGTCCTCTGTTCAGACTTAGACAAGGTAAGGTGGGAGCGGCCGTGATAGCAGTATACACTGGTGATCCTAGGGCAACCTAGGGCTTCCTCCCCGGGCAATTTTCCGACAAGCCGAACGATCCAACGACCGACCTTTCATATGAGATCCATCATCTGGCTGCATGAACCATACCTGCCGGTGTTACGACCATCATCGTTGCTGCGAGTGTTACTGCTATCGAGAACTGCCAGCTCCCTATGCAATTCGGTTGCAGGCAGAAAGCGGATAGGACCATCATCAAACAAGAGGCCCGACCGGAGGCTGACATAGGCTAAGAGAGACGGGCCAGCAGGCAGGACCAATTGTGGGGCAATTGTGCTATATTACAAGCTATGTGTCACTGGGATTCCAAGGCCAGGTGGAGCGGACACCTGCAAGCCGCAACGGCCATTTTTGCCCCTTGACTGCTTTCCACATCTACTCTCCGGCATGGGCCCGCTACGCAGTCTACTATGTCGGCCAAAGACCGGCCGGGGGCGGGCGAGGGGTCATACTGGCATAGCCTTTTGCAGACATGGCCTGTGTGCACATCATGAATCGGGGTTCAACGTAAAAGCCGTCCTACTTATACACGAATGACTAGGATCGGGAGTAGCTAGTTGTAGGGGTTGACCTGGGTAAACAGGGAACCCGCTGAGCCCTCCTGTTAAGCTCTCTCCGCCTAGCTAACTAGGCGTGGTAAGCAAGTGAGCAGGACTCCGCGAATGGGCAGCGCAAACCAGCCAAGTTCAGCCCTCTAGAGGATGTAGAATGAGTAAAGCAGGATGAAAGAGACCTGTATAAAGGGGCCAGATCTTGTCGGAAGCCGCAGAAAACGTGGAAATCCATGGATAGGTGGGACTAGCTTGACCTGCCGACGCCTTTCGTCTTTCCGTAGTGAGCGGAAGAACCTTTACGCAAAATGGATTGATCGAAAGTGGAGACAGATGTATGTTCGCTCCTCGCGAGTATTTAATAGGCACACGCCTGGTGGCCCATGCTCGGTTACCAGATACATGCGAAAGCAACATATACGTTTACCGCTCATGTAAGGATCAGTAGCTGATAGTCAGCACCACAGCATCAGAATAGCAGACTAGCAGGCATGAATGTTGCAGACTTCACCTATTCGGTTCGGACATCTCGATGACGGTCATAGGGCCGACTCCATTACCTGCTACGCTTCATCCCCCCCCCCCCCGGCGCTTCCAATCACCCGTCGTCTCCTATAGAGCACCCACACCGTATTTTGTGCGACTTTCCTACTCTCTGTAGCGTGAAGCGACCCTTATTGGTTCGTGTCAATTACGCACTGTTGGCACATTACATGTTGGGAAGGCGTTTCTGCCTACCAAGTGGGTGTAAGCTTTGCGAGCAGAAAAGTGATGGTAAAGAAAGCGAGCGAGAAGACCCGTAACCGAAGCCAAAACCCAGAATAAGCGGGCGCGGTCCCACTGGGGCACACGTTGATGGTGGACGGTTGAGTTCACGTTGTCGATGTCGGCTCCGTCATATGCCATAGGCTGTGCCAAAGTGTGTGGAAGTAGAGCCGTCTCAAGGCATCTGTTCATTTATATAATTGTATATGTGTTGTAGTTTTGTACGTTGAATAGTCATCATACTGCTGATGAGGTCGGAAGGCCTATAGATAAATCAACAGCCGGCGCCTAGCTTACATCGGTCCTCAATATGTGTTGCTTTGCCGGGCGATCCACTTTGCAATGGCTAAATCCAGTGCGAGCCGACGTGATGGACCAGCAGTTCACTGGGGGAACAAAACAAGACTGTCCTCTTGAAAACAAGAAGAGCTGAACATAGTAAATGTCAGTGCAACACGATCAAGGAGAATGCGACGTTGTGACACGTTTCATGTTGTGATAAAGTGCATTTGATGACGTTTTCAGGAATATTAATATGCCCCGTGCTGCCTATGATACTTTGACGAAAGAAAGAGAAGACAGCGGACTGCAAAACAATTGGTCGATAATTCTGCTTGTAGGCGAGGCGGCAACATAAACGATCACCCTCGCAAAATTGTTTAGGTCGACGTCGGCTAAAATTCAGGCAACCTTTTTTTTTCCTGTAGCACCGTCGTAGCAGTAACAGTAGTTGATCTGAGCTGTTTTGCACACTGAATTTGGTAAACCATGTTTCTGTACTGTCAACGTGGTGAAATATATAGACCGAGGCTCTTTTGCTCAAAAAGCCCTATTCTTGGCTACGTTTATTGTGTCTTTAACTGATTTTTAAAGTGTTTATGTAATGCTTTATATATATATATACATGAAACAGAGACTTAAACTTTTTGGCTTTAAGATCCGGTCCACATCTGCGTTGCGAGTTTTGCCGAAACATTTCATTAGATTTGTAGTTGGCTATAAAACGAATTCAGAATATATATATATATATATATATATATATATATAACACGAAATCGTCAAATACCACATTTGGCAATATTTGTACGAGGGCTTTTTATATATATGCAGTGTGTACACATGAAAGGAAATAGCTGGGCTTAGGTAAAATTAAATGAATTATTAAAATGATTAGGAACGATTAGAACGATTGTGAGAACGATAACAGATGTGATTTTTTATTCATTATTATTTTTATTAATTATTTTTATGAGCCAAACTAATGCATTACAGAGCAAAAAAATCAACTAACCTGAACGTGATTGAGCGAAATAACGGTATTTGCAGGACCTTACTCAAAAAGAAATGTTGAAATCTTAGGCTTACTAGCGGTTTTCAGTATACGTTGCCTAACCTCCGAAAAAAAAAAAAAAAAAAAAAAAAAGTATACGTTGCCTCTTTCGATATTTCCAGGTTCATATTTACTCTACCTACCTGTCAAAGGGTATATTTGCTCCCCATCGATAATGTTTCTAATGAGTTTTCGCAAGGAAAATGTTTCAAACAAGCCGAAGATATCAATACTGATACAGTTAGTTCTGTGTGTATAATAACTAAAAAAAAATCTGATGTAACTATCAGATACAAGGTTATAATTTGCGGATCCTTCAAATGTCGCTTTGCTATTTAGATACTATGATTAAATCCTGATTCATTCGATGCTCCTAAATGCTATCAGCCCACGAATAGCAATTTTGTCCCCATCCAATTCTATGAATGTACAGGAAATTGTCATCATCTTCTCCAGGCGTGACGTTTGGTTTGGTTAAAATTAGCAGGACGTCAAATTAAACTAATCCGATTAGCAACGTAAGGTCACGATATTCTCGCCTTACGTTCCCATATTCTTCCTAAGTAATACTTTCTGACCAAAAAGTACTGTTAACGTAAAGTGACCTCTTTTCTGCCGTTATGTGTTTCGTCGGATTCTTGATGGACAGCAAACAGGATCTATTCGGAATCTTTCTATAGTCATACTGTAGCTACGCAACGTGCAGTAAGATACGACCAGTTATGAAAATTCTTGATTTTTCATACTGTTTCTTTTCAATAGCTTCTTTGCAAGCTGCAAATTCAACACCGGCGAAATGATCGTTCATGTATAACCCGTCTGTTTAACCCAATTGGTTCTAGATTACGAGACCGAGATAAAAGTTCCCATTTGACCTTTTCATTCGCTCGGACGCTTAGCCCCGTGTCCATATTTCGATCGTCGAAACTAAATTGTAG